GGGTGTGGGTCTCATCATACAGCTGTGATCAGTTGAATCCTTGTCTGTCCGTCCATGTGATTGAACTCCCATCTTCAGTGGCTGAATGACCCACACATCTAACCCCATCCTTGGTCTTTTTGGTGACCAGCCCCCTTCCTAAAGCCACCTTGGGACCACCTCATTAGCATAACAAAGATGCCCCCACCTCTCAGGACATTCCAAGGGCGCCTGAAGCCAGGACTGGGACCGGACCGGATGTGTTCTTTGTGGCACTATCATCACAGAGGTCTCTCCGAAGAATGAATGTGCCCCGGTGTGTGACTAAGAACAATGGCAACACCGATGCTGCTAATAAAAAGTCGCCATCAGAGCAAAGACGCATGGTTCTTGTTTTCCATGTGCCAAGCACTTTAGACAGCTTCTCCTTCTGGGAGGTTCCAGTAAAACCCCCGCTGGACTGACTTGGCTGTGTGCCCACTTCTGACCCCCTCCTGGGGGATAGAAGGTAGTGCCCGGCCTGGCCTGGATCTTGCCTGGACCTAAGGGGGCTGTGCCAGCCTAGACCGACCTCAGACCCTGCAGGGGTGGGGCGCAGGGGAGGGCTGGTTCCCAAAGGACTCCCAGGGGCTGTGTATTCTATTCGATGACCTGGGCTACAGGCAACGGAGGCAAAGGCTGCCCCCATCACACACGATCCCGTGTGAGGTTGTGTTCTAGATGTGGGCTCGTCAAACCCACACAACAGGAAGCACCCCTTCTTCTTGGGGGCGGCAGGAGGGGTCCTCCTCCCACGGGCCCATCAGCTCGGAATAATTCCCATCACCATGGTAACACCCAAGTCCCCCCCTTCAGTGTGATGGGAGACAGGGAGTCCTGTCTCTGCGGGGTAGAACGTGATCCTCCATGGGGTGTGGTGTGGATCCCCACTGATTTGGGGTATGGCAGGGGCCCCATCGTTTTGGGGTAAAAATGTGAGTCTCCTGACTTCAGGGCAGTGCCATAGGACCTACCACCATGAAGCACTGACATGTACCTGCACGTTAGACTGTGATTCTTACTGTCCCCACAGGGGACCGTGTCTGGAGACATTTTTGGCTGTCATGCTGAGGGGCAGGTGCTGCTGGGGGCCAGGGATGTCGCTTAACACCCTCCAGGTGTGGGCCACCCGCACAACGGAGAATTCCCCAGCCCCAAATGTCAGCCGTGCTGTGGTTGAAGCCCCCTGCCTTAGGGTGACAGCATAGGTCCAGTCACTTGGGACCCTGTGCAGTGTGGTGTCTGCGACGCTTGTGGGGTCCTGTGTGTCCTGAGCCCCCTCTCTCCGCTCTTTCTTCAGCCTGATGTGTACTCCCTGCCTGGGCCCCTGTCCCAAGGTCTGCCACATCCTGGAAGGCGAGAAGACCATCGACTCGGTGACATCTGCCCAGGAGCTCCGAGGCTGCACCGTCGTCAACGGAAGCCTAATCATCAACATTCGAGGGGGCAGTGAGTGCTCTGGGGGTGGGGGCGGCGGCAGCCGGCGGGGACCCACCTTCCCAGACAGTCATCAGTGGAGCCACCCCGAGAAGTTGGCTTCCAGACCTGAAATTCACAGCTCAGCCCTGGCCCCACCCACCCTCCAATTCTCATTTTCCGAGTTGGAAATTTGCATTCTTAGGCAGGAATCTGCGTTTTTAGCGAGTAGGAAGTGGTCCCTGTTGCAGGTCTGGGGACCTTGTGTTCAGGAATACTGTCACAGGCAAAAAGGCACCCCCTTGTTTATTTTTTCAGGAAACATTTATTGAATACTGACAGTGAACAAAGCAAAACCCATGCATGATGGATCTTACAAATAAACACATCCACACATAATGTACACTTGGGGTGGACCCTGCTATGAAGGGAAGTAAAGCAGGGTAACGAAGGGAGCGGAGATTGGCGACTTTTTCTTACAAAGGGCCCTATAATAAATATACTCAGGTTTGCAGGCCAGATGGTCGCTGTCATAACTACTCAGCTCTGCTGTTGTGGACTTGAAAAAGGCCACAGAGAACGTGCGGACAAAGGGGCGTGGCTCTTTTCCAACTGAACTTTAATTACAAAACAGACTGAATTTGGCCCCTGGGCTGTCATTTGCCAGCCCCTGAAATAGAGAATAAAGGGGTTTGCTCTTTTTGAAGAGTTTCTGGTCTCGGGAGGCATATACTTTGAGTTGGGGATGAAGCAAACCAAGCAGGGAATAATATCCTGGGCAAAGGAGGGAGCCAGTGAAAAGGTCCTGAGGCAGGAATGTGCCTAGTTTGTGGGGAGGCCTATGTGTCTGGAGGAGGGCAAAGAAGGTAAAAGATGAGAAACAATAAAAGCACTGGTCACTTAGAGAGGGACTTGCAGACCCTGAAGTTAGAGGCTGTGGATCATATTCTAAGGATGATGCATTTTGAGCAGGTTATGTTGGAGTCGTTTGCAGCCTGTAGGTTGACTCCTCACTATGGGAAATTATGAGAAGGTAAACATATTTCTGTCGAAACTCACTGGATATTCTCTCCTTTCCTTAGACAACCTGGCAGCTGAGCTGGAGGCCAACCTCGGACTCATTGAAGAAATTTCCGGGTATCTGAAGATCCGGAGATCCTATGCTCTTGTGTCACTTTCCTTTTTCCGGAAGTTACGGCTGATTCGGGGAGAGACCTTGGAAATCGGGTACGTGGCCCGGTTCTGTGTCGGTGGCCCCAGTGCTCACCAGGAAGTTCACGAGTTAAAACAACGTAGGGGTTTTTGCCAAGACATGGAAACACCCGTGTCCACGGACGGATGAGGGGATAAAGGTGTGGCACATACATGCAACGGAATATCTCTCGGTCGTAAAAAGGAAGAGAATCCTGCCACTTGCGACAACATGGAGGGTGTTACGCTAAGTGAAATAAGTCCGAGGAAGACAGATGCTATAGGATCTCTCTTCTATAAGGAATTCCCAAAACAGAACAAAACCAAGCTTATAGAGACAGATTGGTGGACGTCAGAGACGGGGAGAAGGGGGTGAGGGGACGGGTGGTCTAAAGGTACAAACTTCCGGTTGTAACATAAATAAATCCTGGGGCTGTAATGTACTGCACGGTGACTGTAATGAACAATACCGTACTCTATATTTGAAAGTTGCTGAGAGAGAAAATCTTAAAAAAGTTCTCGTCATAAGAAACAGTTTTGTTTAGGGGCGCCTGGGTGGCGCAGTCGGTTAAGCGTCTGACTTCAGCCAGGTCACGATCTCACTGTCCGTGGGTTCGAGCCCCGCGTC